AGTTCCTCTAACGTCCACTAGAGGCTCCAGTAGTGAGTCTTAAATTAATAAACTGAAACTTGTTTGTGTTTGAACAGAGGAGCAAACTGTGTGTTTGTTTGTGAGAGGGTCACTATAGAAGAGAAATACAATGTTTAATATTTAATATTCCAGCAGCTGGAGCGCCAAACTCCTGCAAATACAGAAACTTTCTGTAATTAAAATACTTTTTTCAGCTTTAATTTGACACAAAATCTTGTGATTTTACCAATTTAATGTTTTTGTTTAATACAGGATATCTGTCAATTAACAAACTAATTCATGTAAAATTACACAACTAATACTTTTTACTGTTAATGTCACTAATTTTATATAATTTTAGAAAATGTATTAAACTTGAATTTAACAGTTTAATCTATTAAATAAACAGTAAATATTTGTGAATAAATGTATTTAAATAGTTTTATGTCATACATTTATTTATTTTTATTTATTTAGATTTTTCACATTATTTTACATCAGACGTGTAAATTCACAGGATATTTATGTATTTTTATTCATATTTACATATATTTAATAAACGTGAAAACACTGTATACCTACAGATTTAACCTTTCAACAACATTTACAGCGACTGTGTTTGAATCCAGAACTGTGTGTCTGTCTCAGTCTCCGGTACTGTCTGTCTGTACTGTCTGTCAGTGTTTCCGGCTGATGTTGGACAGATGTTTTCACTTTGTCCTCTTTTAGCTTCCCATCTTTCTAATTTTAGTCCCACAACCTCCTCCTCTTCCTCGCTGCCTCTGTGGACGTCGTCTGTTTGTTTGTGGTTGATGATGCATCACGTCTGCAGCGACGCCAGAACCTTCCGACCCGTTCACACACTGCCAATAAAAACACATGAAAATAAAACAAATATTTCAGCTTTAATGGTCATTGAATGTTTCACTGATGTGTAAAGTTGTGTGTAAATTGTATTTCCTGACAAATAAAACCATATATTATTTAAAAAACAACATTACAGTGTGGCCGTTACAGTGGACTTTCCCTCCTCTCATGAAGGCGTTTTCACGGTTACGGTTGTGGTTTTTGTTGTTCCACCCACGCCGCTCTGTCCTGGAGGAGAATGGGAGGAAGAGGAATCCAGCGGGGAAGAGGAAGGTGTCAGACACGAGAGGAGGAAGTGGAGCATCTCTGTTCGTCTGAAACAACACGAACATCTGCACAGCTGCAGCGAGAGCGCCGCCGGAGGGACCGCTGAGCTTTCTTTAGAATGAAGCTTCCACCTCAAAGTGACGGAGACGTTACTGAGACTGAACGGTGGAAACTTTAAAGGTTCACAATGTGGAGATGGAGGCCGGCAGTGTGCTCCATGATTCACATTAATACACAATAATACACAACAAT